CTAGTGAGCCAGAGTGTTTGAGACGTGTGGAGACACTTTTTAAAATATTCCATCCAGTCCTTGTATTTGCAGAGTCGCTGGTGCTAGACTAGTGCATGTCAATGGCCATAGTTAGCCTGCCACTAAAAACAGTTTTACACACTTCACAAAGCACCCAAAACAAAACATTTATATCACCAGACTGTTGATGAGAATGTCTGTGTTGATAAAATAATTTTAGAAGTAAAACCATGCTTGCATTTGTCTGAGCAGCAGTGAGTTGTACTTCCTGATAGAAAGCTTGGCAGTGGAGGACTGATATATAAGAAAATAGTCCCTCAACATGCGAGGATTCATGCAATGCAAGGTTAGTTTTATTTCAAACATTATTCTATCAACACAGACATTCACATTGACAGTCTGGTGTAATAATAATAGATTTGTTTTGGGTGTTTTGTGGAGTGGGTAAGATTGTTTTTAGTGGCAGGATAACTATGGCCATTGATATGCACTTAGCCTAGCACCAGCGACCTCTGTAAGGAGGACTGGATGGAACATTTAAAAAAGTGTCTCCACACATCTCCAACACTGTGGCTAAATAGAAAAATGAAGTCCTCTGTCCAAAATTTTGAACTGTCCCTTTAAAACATGAGTACCAGAGCTTCTAACAGAGTAGTGCTTTCAGTTAGCATCACACTCCCAGGAAACGTTGATGACATCAGCTGCAAAGTATCAATAAATCATAATATTGGTTTGGAATTTCTATGCGCTCATGAAGCAGTTATATTCATGTGGCATGGATAGCATGGCTGTCTAGCATAATGTCGCCCACCTCATTAGCGCTGTAAAAATATACTACATCATCATTGCCACTTGATACTTTGCAGTGACATCATGCTGGAGGGGATATTGCACATGGACATATAATTAATGAACATCTATGGTACTGCATGTATGTCTATCAAGGAGCATATAGCAGTTACCATGGTGGCACAATGCACACTAGCAAACACTACCAAATAAGTTTTAAGATCTGAAAACTCAAGAAAAACTGCAACACATGGGTTTTTTTTGGCCTTTTTTTTGCGTGTTTGATTTTCAACTAAAAAGTGAGCATGATCAGAGGTGGGACCAAGTCATCGTTTGCAAGTCTCAAGTCTTTTGACGTCAAGTCGGAGTCAAGTCCCAAATCAAATACAGGCAAGTCCAAGTCAAGTCTCGAGTCATTGGCCCATAAATCCAAGTCAAGTCCAAGTTGTCTGCTTTGAGCTTCAAGTCATTTCAAGTCTTTAAACTAAAGTACCAAATTTAGCTTACATTTTGCAATTTATATAACTTTTAAGATAAATTGTACTTTATATATGAGTATTTATAGAGTATGTAAGATTTGTAGAAATGCAAATTTTCCTTTTACATGTCTTGACAAGATCATAGTGTGAGTGAATGAATCATTACGGTCAGAATAAAAAGAATTCAGATTTAAAAGTGCTTCTCAAATCTTCTCAAGTCACAGGCCTCAAGTCCAAGTCGAGTCCCAAGTCTTAGTCCATTTTATCAAGTTAAGTCTCAAGTCCTAAAAATAGTGACTCAAGTCTAACCTGACTCCAAGTCATGACTTGCAAGTCCCAGACAGTTAACTGTCCTTTGCGAGGGACTTGTTTAACAGTACAAATAAACTCTCCTTTTGTAGTTTCAACTAAATTAGTGAGACTGTGTAAAAAGAAAGCTCAGATTAAAGTAACTTGAGTAAGTGAGTAGTTTCAGATAGGGTAGTGCCTCTAATTAGGCTGAAGGATTGTTGCAAAATATCAATAGGGCTGCAGAATTCTGAAAAAAATCATTCATTTATTTTGTATTGTGGTTGCAATAAGATTTGACATTTACAGTGTATAATAGAAGAGCTGCTTAAACACATCCATTTAAGAGAACACATTTCAGTCACAGATCTAAACTACATGGTTAACACAAACTCATAAAAAATACAGGATATTTTGTGGTATTCATGTAATTGCCTTAATAACTTCAGCCTCTACGATTTCTATATATTGTGCAGCCCAAATTGCCAAAACTATCAGTCTATTTGCTCAACCTGCTGAATGCAACTTCCCCTCCTGTGTTACTGAATCCTGTTGCATGCTTGTACTTCATGTATACAGCCTCAGATCAGATCCTGCTCTTATCACCCTGTAGTTTGTTTACTGTAAAACAGTTGTGCCTGTCGAAACGCTCCTCTCCTTTAGGCTTCTCACAATTTTTACTATGACTTTTATGTGATGTTTGATAAGAAGAACTACATTTTTCAGGCTCAGTAATTATCACATATAGAGTTTTTAAATTGGTAATGCAGTATTTTGTAGTATTAAGCCAACATGATAACATTTGAACTTGAGGATATTATTGAGGATGTTATAGATACTAGAATTAATTGTGTTATTTACTTATTGCTGGGCACATTTTTACAATATAATTATGGTTAAAGGTTCACTATGTAACTTTTCTGATGATCTGTGGGTCTGCAGATTTTATTGCTTTGCCTGGAATGTTCCACACTAATCAGAAACATACAGCTTTTGCATTTATTTCCTTTGGGTTACACTGCTCAAAATACTTTTAAACATGCATTATTACTATCCTGGGGCTTGCCTTTTCCAAGATCTGACTTGTAGCTTGGCCTCGTTGCACTAGAGAAGTTACACAGTGCATCTTTAACTTAATAAAAAGTTTACGGGGATTGTCCTGCTTTTGCTTTATTGTGTCAATGGTATAAAGTACTTTAGTGGTTTCAATACTATCTTTATATTCTTTTTCTGTAGTAATATCATACTTCAAACTGTATTCTTGTGACAGACCTCCTCTTGGTGGGACGGTCCCGGGTTGGCAGGCTCTTGTTGTTTGGACTCTGTCATCTGTAAAGCCACAATGAGGCACTTGTCCTGGAGCTGTGTGTTTGAGAGGGGCTCAGAGCGCACCATTCATTTAGATTTCTATGGGACACTCTGAATAACGTCACACTGCCATTTGTACAGGGAACTCCTTCTACTTTACTGCCTTAAAGGAACTGAACTAAGCTTGAATTATGTTCTATTTAAAGTTTGGTGGAAAAACAGAAAGGCTAGTGGTATTTCTGCAACTGTTACTACATCCTGCTACAAGCAACTAAACCAAAAAACTCATGTTACTGTAAGTGAGTAAATGCTTGGAATAACTGTGCATTTTTTAGTAGGTAAACATACTATAATTGAACATAACTGTAATGAAATAAAAAAGTAACTAGACTATTACTACTGGCCTATTGTTATTGCACACCTTATTTTGGCTTATTTTGGTGTTTGTTGTATATTGCTTCTTAAGTTTTAGTTCAACTTCCTCTGCCTAATTGATCATAAAAAATAGTCCTAAACATCATTACAGTCAAATCTTCATCCTATATATCATTATGCAGTCCTCACTTCCATGGAAAAACATACTTCCTGACAGTTCCTGACAGTGGAATCTAGTTTAAACATTTAGGATTTCAGGGAGTAGCAGGTATTCAGGAAAAGGTCACATAACTGAGTCGAATGCGTCGCTTGGAGGCGATTTACTGGGTGGAGTAACCACGGCAACTGTTTAGGCATTTCAGCTAATAAAAGGCCAATTACATCAGCAGCATCTGCACAAACAGAGAAACTGAACACTCTATAGAATTTATCTGTATATTTCCAACGTTAATATTTGCTTAATACAGATTTATGCTTCGCCTTTTAAGAGTTTTATGCCAAAGAAGGATGAAAATTAGATGCTGCCAATGGACAACAAGCAGCTTTTTGGATGAACATCAGATTAGCATGTGTAAGCCCTAAGCACAGGCGGGGAGAGATAGACTGAACATCACATCATTTTGCATCTGAAATACAGTATACTATATGATTATTTTTGTTGCTGAGCGCCAGATAATAGTAATTGGGGATGTACAAATAACTGAAATATTGCAATATTGTATCGTCAAAAGTGTCAATAATATCATGGGCTGTTACAATACATCGAATTACAAGTTTCTTTGCTTAAGTGCATGGTTTTATAGCAACAGTTTATAAACATCGGGAACTACATATCCCATGATTCATTTCAGTTCAGACAACATGAAGATATATGTTTTTTATTTTAATTCTTGGGATTATGATGGAAATAATTCACACCAAAATCTTGTCAAGGTATTTTAAAAGCAAAAAAAGTGTCCTATCTACAATTATATTAGCCTCTCAAAAATATCACAATAAATATCATACCGAAATTATTCTTCTTATGCATTCTGGGCATCCTAATCATTCACCACGATGAGTTTGTGCTAACAACAACGGGCATGCTAAGGCTCACTTCCTGATTATCTGACAATATATGTTTTCCACTTAGATGCAGGCAGCACACAGTAGATGTTGACTTCAAGAGGTGATTATATAATACTGTATATCTGTACACAAAGGGGAAAATCAAGTTATTGTGATATAAATACTCTAATTAAAAAAACACTTACTAACTATCTTACAATTTTGATGTATAGATTAAATTAAAATGACTTAATTTTGCTTCTAAATCAACCAAAAACGCAAAGAAGTGTTTTACAAGAAGAACAGTCAGGAAGGATATTGAATGTATATATTTACTACGACACTGCTGAACCTCGACCCCAGGATCTGGACAGGAAATTGAAGGTGGTCGCCGGTGGTTGTTTAGGAAGTGCAACTTATCACAGCAAGGAAGCCAGGCGCACGGGCAGAGGGGCTATTTCTGTCCATGGGCCCGAAACATGAGGCTGCTGTCCCACGTCACAATGTAAAAATAACCCGTTCGTGTCTGTTTACATTTAGCTGTGACTGTGATGACTAAGTGCCCATTTTGTCTGCCATTATAGATACAAACTTTACCACTAGATAACATTAGCATGAAGCAACACTGATAGCAAGGACACAGCATGGACATTTGGACAGCTGATGTTTGTTTGCTTAGCCTACTTTAGCCCACTATTTTGCCTATCTCTGCAGCCCCCAAACCGTGACTGACGATGGACTACGTGAACACCTCAAATAGCTACGGCGCCGGGGACACGGTGAATGCGTCTCTCGCCAATATGAGCCTAAACCACCAGGAGAACGGGGTCCAGATGGGGCACGCCATGAAAGGTGAGTCATGGGGGGGTAGAGGGGGCAGATAATGCACTCACAACAAAGCCAGAGGTTAATGGTCTGTATAGAGGATACACAGTAATCTGTTTACAAGCAGCTGCGTTAAAGATGTGTAGGTTGAGCTTGTAATTTTGAGTTGATGTAGTCGACGTCTTGTATGTTTTAGAAATTAAATATGCACAGTTTGTATCATAGTTTTATACAATTTTGATTCAAGACTTGACACAAAATGTAAGTACAGTTTTACAGTTTTCTTTGGTCCTTCCTCATGCAAATATAAATAGCAATCTTGTTTCATGATTACATAACATGAGCCGACATATCCATTTGCCAAGTCTGCAAAATAGCAATGAGTATGTGTTTTTTTGCAGGAATAAGTTAAACCTGTTGCAATATTGGCAAATAATCAAATCATCAGGGTTGACTTATTTTTGCAGCCAAACTAATATACCACATAGGCTTCATATAATATAAACATTGACATTTTGCAGTCTACTGAAGATAAGATATATAGGGCTTATACTAGTGCCCAGAAAGAAATCACTAATTTGTTTCCAATAGCATCATAACTCCACAACTGGTTTAATACTTTGAAATTTTCTCCATTATTTTGTATCTCTGTAAAGTTGCATTTGTATATCTATAAAGTTGCATGCTTGTTTGGTCACAGGACCCGTACAGTCCCCACACTGCTCTGCTCTAATCCCTCTTTACATAAGATACAAGACATGCTCAGCTCCACTGGAGTGGTTGCCTAACTGCAGCTGCACTGTGCTCTGTAATCCAAGCTTTAGGGTCAGGGACCTCCAAACGCACCCCACACTAACTACTATCTATTCAAAACAATTAGACTTTCACTAGGCCCAAAACAAAGGCAACAGAATCTTTTTATACCTGTAATTCATCAAAGTACATTTATACACAATATGGTCTTTTAAAAGAAAAATATCCCCAGTTAAGTAAAACCATAGCAAGTAAAACCATAGCAAATTAAGTCAGAATAGTAACCCTGCATTCGATTATCCTGCCAAATCGGTTTTTCGAGGAAGTTGCCTAGCAACATGCATGACACACCCCTTTTCCTGGGATGGCGCGACTCAGATTTCGGTGGCGGAAAAAGTAGACCGAGTAAGGATTCAGAGTCAGGATCCAAGATGGATACGCCCACCGTGTAAATATGAACTGTTTTCATTGTGACAATTGACAATTTCAGTCACTCGTATCACTGCAATGCCGTACCGTGTCCATATCACCGCCTGTGGGTCTGGTAGTCAGTGTTGTGGTGAGGCTAGTATTGAACAAATTGATTTAACGGACATTAACGTCCCTAAGGTTGTAATTGAAGAGAAATCATGACATAAAATTAATTGCAAATTTTAAAAAATGTAATTAATTACAGTGGCATCGTTTTCATAAGGTGAGGGATGCAAAACATAATAATATGCTTCAAGCTCAGATGTGACATCAAATCCAAGGTCCAAGTGGGAGTCGGAAGATAATCAAACACAGGGTAATTGTCAGTATACTGGTAGGTGTGGAAATAGAAGTACCAGCTTTTGGAAGTTTTAGTAGTAGTAGTTTGTAGTTACAACAGGAGTAGTAAGATTCTTATCATAAATTGTACAAGAACTAATAAACATATTTTGTAGTAGTAGCGTTTGAAAACAGTAGCTTCATTTGTACACTCTTGAAAGACTATAATTTATATTATGGTCCAATTCAATCCCAATACTTGACATTTACAATAGACCTCTTTGGTCTGACTCTGGCAGCGTTTAAGTACACTTATGATGACTTTATGAGCAGTTAAACACAAAATAACCCTCCACATCTGTAGGGCATCTTCACAAGTGCTTAAACTTAACTAACTGGACCAAAATCTCATCTTGTGTAGGCTTTTTTATCACTGTTTCTCTCTGTCTCATCCCATCTCGAACCATATGGCCAATTAGTGCGTAGCTTAGCCTTCCCTAGTTTACAGCCCTCTCTAGTGCTCTGCTTCTCCCCATTCCCATTTCTCATTATCTCTCACACAAGCAGGAAGCAGCCATCCACTAAAGTAAACTCTACATTTATCAACTACAAACTAAACAGTGAGTATTTGTAGAAGGCAGTATAACTCGTTGTAGTAATGTAGTAGTAGTAGAACTGTATGAGCCTTGTCGGTTTTTGTTAGGCCTAATCAGTTTTACATAGCTCAGAATAGACTCCCCTATAGCTCCCCTAACTAGATCTATGGCCGCCATCTTGGATCAGTCGATATTGATCAATTTCACTGTCTTATTCTGTACTAGACAGGACAACCAGTGTCTATTGTTGTTACTTATTGATGTTCCTTAAGTCCATCCATTGATGTATTCTTTCTGTCGTGTCTTGACTGTAAAAGAAATTTAACCCCAAGGAAAGGTGTTAAAGAGCCCATATTACTCAAAGTTGACTCTTGTGAGCTTTAAGCCTTGTTATAATGTTGTTACCTCCTCAAAAACATAACTGGAGTGTTTTGTTTCATTCACTTGGGCGATGTCATAACAGTAGTTTTCAGGTTACCTTTTACCTTTTGTTCAGTAGAAATGAGCAAATTATCTAAATGATTCTACACAGTGGAATATTATCACATGGCATCACAAGGTGCAACAGTTTTTGAGAGAACAGTTTGAGAGAAGAACTCAGTCTAAATATGCAGGGTTTGTGTGTTAAACATTTGAATGAAACAAAACAGGTCTGTTTGTGAGGAGGAAACATTTAAACATTTAATCAGGAAACAGGGTAATATGGGCCTTTTCATATATTTGTTGCATTATTCATGCACTCCTAAATTATAAACATGGTCAATTTAACTAATATCTGCCAGAAATATTTGGAGTACTGGATTGCATATTTGAACAGAGGATTATTGATTCTGATGTTAGATGTTTGATGAGTCTCTGGCATGTACGAAGCATATGGTATTTGGTTGATTTTAATACAGGCTGTAATCACGAATTATGTTTTTTGTAATCTTTTTGCATCTGTCCATTATTACGCTTGATGCCAAAAACCTGCTCAAACTGGCTCAGTTGGTGATGTTATCAAGCTGGTTTAAATTAATATGAAAATCAGTGGAGGGTCCATCAAATGCTTTTCTTTGTGGAGTTGTTATTGCTTTGTCTGAAATGTTTCACAGTATCTTCGTGGAGACCAAACCGGATTAAGTTACATTTCAGATCTGTGGAGAGGCAACCCCGCTCACTATCAGTGTGCCTGGTTTTGTTGGTATTTTTGAGCTATAAAACCACCTGTAATTGAATAAATGTAAGGTATGTCATACTGTGGAACATTTCAGGCAGAGGAATGATATATCCATAGAAACAAGCAGGTGACAGACCCCCTAGCAAAAAGTTACATAGTGTACCTTTAACTTATATATTGGTATGTTATTTGGACTTGGAATTTGTTAATGGCTAACAATATATTGACTTGTGTGTTCATATCATATCAGTTTTATATTTTCTGTTATGTATGCTTTACCTAGAATTACTGCGAAAATATTTATTTAAGACATCCTTCCTTTTTTTGTAGGGGAGTCTGCTCTATGTTCCTCACACACTGGTTGGGTTGTACACTTGTGGTGAAGGTTAGAAGGTGGTTTTGAGATTATGGTTAAGGTTAGGGCCTGGGTGAGGTCAGTGGTTTTGAATTTACTTGTGAGAAATGTGAGAAAGCAGGGCTGTGGGAACATAGGTAAACTCCCATTCTAGGCTAACTAATTTTACTTATTTTTTTGTTAGAATCTCTGACACTTTTTCACCAAATAATGTAATTTATACAGTTTTACAGAGTATGTTCTTTTGTTATTTAGAATCTCAATTTTTGTCTCTGCTGTAATGTTGTTTGCAGCCTTTCTTTGGAGCCATCAGGATGTCTGTCTATTCTCTCATGTGCTAACTTTAGTTCTGTCAGATCCATTTAAAACTCTCCTTGACTCCCGTCCACAGAGGAGGAAGCTGTCCCGAGTGAGAATGGCCTCACTGGGGTCTCTGACGAACAGGGCGCTGAGGACGAGGTTCAGCCCTGTCCCGCAATGGAGGACAGTGAGGTCCCACCTGGTACGATCCACGGTCCACTAACCTTTACCTTTTCAGCATGCATTGGTTCTGCTTACTTGATTTGATCTTTTTTTCTAAGCAGAGAAATCCTCATCTTGTTTTGCTTGGTTAACTTTGTATTGTTTTCAGCTTTGACTAACCTGTCTCCAACTTTTCCCCCCGCCTTTACGCAAATACTTTGAACCCAGCTTGTTTGGCTCATATTTATAGCCATCTTGAGAGGAAGGAAGACATAAAGCTTCCCAGCTGTCATTGCAAACACTGTTGCATTAGGAGCTTATTTGCATGTTCAATCTCTTCATGTTTTCAAACTGCTACAACGTGGAAAATAGTTGAAGAATTGGCCATTGTAATCTTGTGGTTTTGAGGTTTAAGTCCTTCTTTGATCAAACATACTTGCTCTGACAGCTTGTCCAAATCGTGGCTGGTAGTGGGTTCAACAAGGTGAAAATTTTCCTTGATGTGTTAACCAGCTTCCCCAGGTCCCAGAACACGGTAAATACCTCAACTGACCCAAAACACAGAGGAGAGGAGTTTGAACAAGCCCTCTGTAAAGTCAATAGGACCAGAGTTAAAGGTCCTGTTTTTTTTTAAATTTTGAATCTTATGCGCTTTAAACCATGTTAAAATGTCATTACCTCCTCAAAAACATACCTGGAGTTGTGTTTTGTTTCACTCACACATGTTTACGATCAATAACATGGCCTCTATTATTAGTCTGTCTACATCGTCAAAGCTCAATATGCGCCGATCCACCTTGTGATTTCATGAAGCAGTAGATTTGAAGTTAACATCTCCCTTTTGCCTTTATTTCAGCAAAGACTGGACTGAAACTGTCCAAATGATTCTAGTGACTGTATATGGAATTTAAAAACACATTGGAGCACTTCCTGTATTACCACATGACAAGGTGTTTTCTGTTTGAGAAAACATCTCATCCTAAATCTGCAGGGTTTGTGTGTTAAACATGTGTAAATAAAATAAAAAACACACCAAAAAAAATGCAACTCCAGGTCTGTTTGTGATGAGGAAACATCATTATAACATAGATCAGAAAATAGTATGACATGGGCCCTTTAAACTGGGAGGCCTCATAGTGTCACTGTTGTGTAACTTGTGTATGACTTGTATGTGTCCTGTCCTGCAGCGGAGACAGCAGAAGAAGAAAAAAAGAGCGACCCTTGCCAAGATGAGGGTCAGTCCGGTACGCCTCCCGCCAAGACTCCCTCCTCATAGCTGCTTGTTCATTTTTAAGTTTACAAACAGTAACATGGCCTGTGTTTATATATAATTTTACAGCTTCCATTTTCTTTCAGCTTTGTTTGGGAGCGGGTTTTGTTTTGAGCAGAGGTGGAATGAAGCTTTGCACTGATACTCAAGTCATTTTTAAGTGTAACTATAGTAATGCTAATGTAACAGGAAAAAGTGCTTCAAATATTTGTGGTAGCAGAAGTGTGTATAATTTTTTTTTTACTTCACTTCACTATATGAAATACTTTTACTGTTGAACCCTAAAAGACGTAGTAAGTGATGTAGGGTTCACCAACTGTATGTCACCATGGAGTTGTTAACACTTGAAATATTACGCAGTATAGCTTTAAACATATCCATCTCCATAAAGACAAGCAGATGACACTACCTGGCCAAGTTATAGCTCAGATCTGTGGAGAGTCTTCCCTGCTCTCAGTACATATGTTTTTAAATGTCACACTCTGGAACATTTCTGGCAATGAAATAACAACTCCATGGGGACAAGCAAATGGCGCCCCCTCAGAGGAAAGGTTGCATAGTACTTCTTGCTTTAACTCCTACCGTTTCCCTCAAATACACATGTAAGAACATTGTGAAGTAGCAGTATTTATACTTGAGTACAGATGTGTGGAGTATTCCTTTCACCTCTGCTCTGTGGGTGTGATCTTTTCTTTGCTTTTGTTTTGCTTGCTTTGACAGCTTGTTCTTTCAGCTCGTGAGATGTTAACATGAAGTCTATTTTAAACTAAGAAAACATGGTTACGACATCTTGGGGTATTTTTGCGCAAAGGGAATGTCTCTAAACCACAGGCACATTTGATTCTTGAAAGATCTGTTCAGCAGATGTTGTTCTCCAGGATAACGTCCAAAACAGCTGTATAGCATTGCTTAGGTGTGGTGCTGCGATATAAAGCCTATGGAAAACTGCCTGCATATTCTTCAGAGCCTACTTGACATGATGTGCTATTATGTGGCCTATTTGAATTAATGGTGGCTGTATGCTGTATTGGCTTGCATTGATTTCTTCTCAGTGAGCGCATTAATCTGGCTTGAATGACAGAGGCCTATTACTAACTATGCTCTTGTGTGTTTTTCCCCTCTGCCTCTTCACATTCTGTGGACAGCAGGAGCCACTTCAACAGGTAGGGCCTCTAAATGTTATCGACTGGTCCCAGACAATATTCATTTGATGGTAATGTTGGCTATGAATACACTTAAGACAATAGACATATCATAAATGGGGAAGCTGCAGGCAGTGTAACAAGTCAGGCATAATATTTGATTTACAAAGGAAAGCAAAAGTCATTCATGGGAGATGATAAGAAGTATTCGTTTTGGGTGTGGGTCATTATTGATTGCCTGGAAATCCAGAATGATAGCTCTCTGAATTTTTTATACAGCCTCTCAAACCCAGTCAAACATGCAATCAGATTTGCTTTATTCAGCGATGCGTGTGAAATGAAGGAGCTCACTGGTCACCTATCAAATAAAATCTAATTTATCTCACTTCAGATCAAAAGAGTATAGTTCTTAATTATGTTTTTAAGTCCCCTATATTTTTTCCTTTTTTCCAATACAACAGACCATGCAAGTCCCTGATTGGCTAATCCACCTGTCAGTCATGCCCATTTGATAACTGTGAGATTCACAAGTGGTGACCAAACACATCTTTGTAAAGTTTTGAAGAAATGTGTATTCTGGGCCCCAGGCAACAGTATTGAGGTTTATTCAGAGATTTTACTTAGATTTAATTTCATTTCAAGATGGGGTGATACTGCTTTCTCCGTAAACTTTTCTTAAGATTTTGCATTGTTATAGTAGTTTTCTTTTTACAGATTCTGGAGTAAATATTTCTTTTTTGACTCAGTGCTGCCTGTGCTCTAAATAGTAACTTAAAGGAATGTACAAAAACATTTTTCCCCATCGATTTGAGTTTATTTCCTGTGGGAAGCAAATGCAGTTGGATAGATATACAGGCTATATTGGTACAGCGCCCAGTTTAGACAAACATGAATGGCTGTTTTTAAAAGGAGAATTCTTGGAAATGAAATTCAATACCTACCTATAAAAGTAAAAGGGTCTTGCCTTTCCTTTACAAATCAAATTTGTCTAACATAATTTACTTAAAAATAGCAGGATGATTGATAGATAATGTTTAGATAGACAACTTTGTGGTGTTTGTGAATTTGAATGCCTCACTTGTTTTAGTCACTTTCATTTTTTGTTTATTGTTTTGTTATGAAGCAACCATTCTGACCACTTCCCATTTTGAAAGTCCTGCCCGTTCACATTATGCAGTTTAATTTTTATCATTTTATTTCCACCTTAATTTACACAAATACGCTATGTTGAACATCAAGTACCCATTATGTTTATTTCTTTTCAATGGGGGAGAGTTAGTGAAAGCCAGTGCTGTGAATGTCACCATTAATGTCCTTTCCAAACAAACTAGCGCCGCCTGCTCCTTCCACTGGATCGCTCAGTGCCTTTGCTGACGAACTGTCATCCTCTGTCTCCGGACCGAGCGCTGACCTCATGGGAGCATCGTGTTGTGCTGTCCCTGAAAGAGACATGGTGGACAAGAAGCTAACAGAGCCTCAGTGGGTGTCCGAAGATCTTGCAGTACTAGCACAGGCCACAAGGGGGAGCTGTGAGTGGAGTGAGGCTGATGCTAAAAGGGCTGTAAGTCTGGATGCAACAGAGTGCTTGGACGCCATTAGCCTGGATGTGTCTCTGGTCCGCAGTGCAGCGCTGGAGGATCTCACAGCTATTGAACAAGGGCAAAGCAGTGAAAACATAGAAACGAATGAATCAGAAGAAGAAGAGGTCAGATGTGGACAACGCTCTCAAAGCCTCTCAGATACCAGTTATTGTTCTGGACTAATAGAAGAAGGTTCAACACAGTTACATGAAGCCCAAAGTGATTCTCCACCAGCTCTGCTTGACAATGTGGAGGAAAATAACTCAACTGATTCATGTAAAGATGGCTATTCAAAATCTGATCTTTCTAATGATTCAGAGATGATGGTTTTGGACAACACTGAGCCAAGACACACCTCCCCAGCTAGAAAGTCAATGGTTCCAGTGGCAGTGTGTAAAGGTCTGTTAACTACACCTGATTATGAACTTTTAGCGTTCTTCAGTTTTGACACCTTTGAGTTTGACGAAGCCGCTTTTTATGCAGCACCTCTTCCAATTTTTCATTTTTCACAAAGGATTTTAACGCAAAGAAGAAAAGCTTGTCGTCCCTCCTCCCCACTACTTTTACTTTCTATAGCTCACTTCACACGTTATGCAGCCCCAGAATGAACCACTGTCGACACATGCATTTGAATGGATCACTCTGCATGCCACAGATCCTGCATTACCTGTTTCATTTATTTGCCATCCTTAAATTATTATGAGTTTTCAGCTTAAATGGCTATCATTGACTGAGTATTACAATGGTTTCTTCTTCTTCTCTTCTTCTCCATAGCTCAAGCCAAATCGGACAGCCCTGCAGACAAGGTAAGCACATAACCACAATGACTTCATTCACATTTTCATTTTTGCTTTTTGTTTCATTATTTCTTTTACGTGTCATTTTACTTTGGTATTTATTTATGTATTTGGTATTTTCTGTATTCATTTTTTCATTTTCATTTGTTTGTGAGAAAGACACACCCCTCCACCCAAATGCCTTCCTCTCCCCTTAAACGACCATCACTAAACTCAAAGAGCAAATCACAGTCTCCTCGAAACGGGCACAGCTCCATCCCAGTCAAAACCAGCAGCTCCGAGCGAGCGCAGACCAGAGTGAGTATATGGAGCCGACTGGGTTTTTCTTTTTGTGTGAGTTTGACCTTTATGGGAATGTCAAGGTTAAACACGTAGAAAATACATCCCTCTGTGTTCATTCCCACATTTTGGTTTGACAAATATTTACCTAATCGTCCTCTGTTCAAATATATTTAAGCAAAGCAACTCATGTTTGTTTTTTAGAGCATGAAGACCCCTGCAGCCAAAACCGCCACCAGAACTGCTCAACCAGGTGTGTTACTATAACCTCCCCGGTAAATACATAAGTCTTTATTAAGACATATGTAGTATTTTCTTTTATTTGATGGAGGATTAGAGTTATTTATTATTTGTCATATTTTTATGATACAGTTAATGCCAAGAAACCCCCTACTCCCAAAAATGACAAAGGTAAAAGATGCACAGAGCGCACTGTCAGTTTGGCATGGCACACGCCACAGTCTGATCAGGCCCAGCCTGGATCAAACTTGGGCAGCTTCTAGTAGTCACTAGTTTGGTGTTTTTTCTAACTTTTTTCTGAACTTTCCTTGACCTTCAGATTAATTTGTGTCATATATTTAAATATTAGGATCTGTTTGTTTTTGCCTAAGATCACAAGAGTGGACAGAGCAGCCCTGGTACTCCCAAGTCTCCTGCGAGCCAGGCGCAGTCCAAATCTGTGGCTGAGGCCAACAAAGTGAAGAAGGTGGCGGTGGTGCGTTCGACACCTAAATCTCCAGGGTCTCTGAAGACCCGCCCTGGTCCCATGGCGGCTGCCACCGGCTCCGCTGCGCCTCTGCCAGACCTTAAGAACGTTCGCTCCAAGATCGGCTCCACAGACAACATCAAGCACCAACCTGGAGGCGGCAGGGTAAACCGTCCCATACTTTACATTGGTCCTTCAGCTCATTCTCTTTTGTTTGTGCTTGTATTAGTGACCTGCGTGGCTTGTTTTTTCATATCTTTTGGAAATATTGTTTTTTACAGGTTACACAAACTCCTGTGCATCCACGGTACTACATTATTCCAATCTCAACTGTAACCTTTTGATTTTTCAGGTTCAAATCCTTGATCAGAAGGTGGACTATAGTAATGTCCAGTCTAAGTGCGGCTCCAAAGGCAATCTAAAACATGTCCCCGGTGGCGGCAATGTGAGTAACTGAGGGATAGACTCAACATGGATTTCTTGAGTATCTCTGCAGTTATGATCATGAAACTCTTTTGCTAACATAAAAATAATTAATTCAGGGAATCTATGCACTTGATTGGTGACGGCCATAAGCTAAAAATAAAAGAATCAGGAAAATTAGCCCAAACTGATGAAATTACGTATTCTAAATGTTCTGCTTCATTCAAGTCAAGTTATGAATAAGTCACATGACTGCAGACTAAACTATAATGATCGCATACATTTCTGATTGAAGCCCATTCACATTCACTAACCTCATACAGCTTAGATTTATTTCATTTATTTGTGTTCTTGCTTTGCATCTGTGCTACTTCATGTTTTGAATATCATGTACTAAAATGATTACTTGTCTCAATAAGATCAACATCAAGATCAAAGAAAAAGTGCCTTTAATCCTCTCTTCCATCTGGGCATATGCTCTGCTTTCTGGCTCACATTAGTTTAATGATCATTTGTGTTTTGGTAACTTGTTCTCAGGTTCAAATCCTCGACAAGAAGATCGACTTCTCCAATGTCCAGTCTCGCTGTGGCTCTAAAGACAACCTGAAGCACACCCCTGGAGGAGGCAAGGTGAGGACTCAGACAGATCTATTGTTTCTGTAAAAAAGTTTGATGAATATTTTGATCACTGTAACAGGTGATCTGAGGACATCCTATTGAAAAGTATCTCTCTCTCTTTATTGTTTGACCTCTTTATTTCTGCCACAAAGGGCTTTCTCTCATCACATACAGCACACACACACACTTACGCTCAGAGGTAACAATCTCTTCCCCTTACTTGTGCACTTTTTCAGGTTAAAATTGTTGAACAGAAGTTGGACTTTAGTAATGTCCAGTCTAAGTGCGGCTCCAAAGACAATATCAAACATGTTCCTGGTGGCGGCCAAGTGAGTAACTCAAGAGATAAACTCAACTCCGTTTTGAGTATCTCTACAGTTATGATCATCAGAAGCAGCAGGCCCTGGCAGAGGTCTGGACTGGGTCTGATTTAAATTCTGTTTCCTGTACTTCAGTATGTAACAACGTATAACAGAATAATTGTATTAAAGTAGCTCTATAGTCACGACCCTCTGACACACGGTAAAAACGTCTTTCCTAATAAACCACGCCCCTTTACTCACATACACCTCTCTCACCTCACCCACTCCTCCCCCGCTCTGGTCTTCACTCACTGCGCTTTCACTCTCTCTCAACGATAACCTGTTTTTCCCACATTATCGACTTTCCAGGTGCAAATTTTTGATAAGAAGTTGGACTTAGCCTATGTGGGGTCGCGCTGTGGCTCCAAAGATAATATAAAACACACACCAGGTGGAGGCAATGTGAGTAGAAAGGGCCTGCTCTTGAATGCACCTTCAGAGGAGCAGGGTGCACGAAATCTGTGTGTTAACCCTGACCTTTGACCCCTGGCCTCTGCACTCTCCTCCTAACAGTGTCATGGCACCTGTGTGAGCCATGAGCGTCTTCTCCTCTAGAGCAGAACTAAACTAGTGACACCTGAATGCATCTCCCTCTCTGTCTCTAAGTCTGACTAACCATATGGCCTGTCACAAGAACAACGTCTGAGGTGCTATCATAGATTATATAAAGCAGAGTGTGATGTTACCCCTAGTGTTCGGCTCCAGTCTAATGAAGCTCATGAGGCTAGCAGTCATAGGAACAAATTTAGAGCAAGTTTCATGTTTGTAATAGGAATTTATAGAGCGGGTTAATATTAACATTTTAACACCAAAATGATGAAGCTCACAGCAGCAGTTCCAGAGAGAGGGGAGACAATTTTTCAATGTAAAGTCAAATGGAGCCAGAATCGATGGAGCTGGATGCGCCCTCATGCTCACTTCCTGTTTGGAGCAAGGTGACTAGTGGGTTAACTATGTTCATTTATATATGAAGATAATGTAAATGCCAAATAATAGGAATGTGACAATAATGGAAATATCGTGATATCGTATCGTCACAGTTCTCACAATAATATCATGGCCCATCACAATATATCGATAATTACAAGTCTCTTTGCTTAAATGCAGAGTTATGGTGCAGCAATAGCTAAAAAAAGATAGAGGGAACTACATAGACCATGATCCTTTGCTCCATTTCAGTGTAGACTAGAGGAAGAAGAAAGAAGAAGAAGAAATAACAATTCTAAGCACTTTAAAGTCTTAGTTCTTTGTATTATGTCTTGTCAAAGCATTTTAAGAGGAAAAAGTAGCGTATTCACATGTTTGTTTGCTTCCACAAAATATCGCAATAAATATCGTACCGTGAGATGTACATCGTGAAAATATCGTACAGAGAGATTTGGATATTGTTACATCTCTAATTGTGAGTCTCGCCATATCGTGAGCTTGCCCACGATATTGTAATAAATATCGTACTGTGAGGTTCATACCGTGATGTTATCGTATCGTGAGACTTGGATATCGTTACACCCCTACCAAATAATAATTTTGAAACTAATTTATGACTGAATTACCATAACACAGAATTTAAAAATATTACTGTTAAAAAACATGAGCTGTAGCTTGTATCTATAATGAGTAAAAGAAATCGTGTATTCAAAGTTCTTCAGCTCAAATCTTGTTCTACAAAAAAATTGCAAAAAGTTCCCAACTAGTACAAAGCCAAAGTACCCACAATAAATCCTGATCCCCCCAAAATATAGTTCCATCTCACATTTATACAACAGTAAGTCAATACAGTATTTACAGATAGTTAGTGACAGGCCTACTAACCATTATGTTATGCTCATGACCAAATGAACCTCTCCCTATGTCTTCTGCTGTCCTCAATTTGAGGTTTTACCAACAAACCTGGTCCCCCGTCTTCATGCATGAGTCTTGTGTGTCCACTTTTCAACTTTTCAACTTTTTGAATGTCCAAAGATGAGAAGAACATAAGATCATAGTGGTATTTGATACATAAAGCGCCCCAAATTCACACAGAAGTTGCCTGTCGACTTTAACAAAGGCCCAGTGTGTGCCTCATCAGAGCGGGGCTGTTAGAGGATGATCTCAGCTCAAAGAGAGGACATTGTTTAGAGACAGACGGCCTTGACAGGGACTTGGGCTGGGACTGGCACTGTGCTGGATCTGCTGTCAACATGAGCAGTGCATGAACAACTGTAGTCTATGGAAACTTAACATACTACTTATTCAAAACAGAAATGGATAAACTTCTCAAGTCTAACGCTGTCAAATAGTTTGTTTAAATGTGCACTGTGTAACTTTTTGGTGGGGGGTCCATCACCTGCTTGTTTCTATGGATATGTCATTGCCGTGCCTGGAATATTCCACAGTATGACATTAATACTATAGCTCTACCTTACATTTATTCAATTACAGGTGGTTTATAGCTCAAAAATATACCTAAAAAACAGACTGATTGTGAGCAGATGCCTCGCCACAGATCTGACCTGTGACTTGGTGTAGTTTGATCTCCATGAAGATAGAAAGGCTTAATGCCATACTGTGAAACATTCTAGACAAAGCAATAACATCTCCACGAAGAAAAGCATCTGACAAACCTTCCACCAGAAAAGTTACACAATGCACCTTTAACATGAAGCTGTCGCAGTAATAGCCTCTAAAACCCTAACATTACATGTATTGGGTTAGCATGGCTTTGAAATGAAATGCATTGTACTGTTCATAACGTTATCTTTGTTGTCGTTTTTGTTTTCAGGTTCAAATTGTGCATAAAAAAATCGATTTGAGCAACGTCCAGTCCAAGTGTGGCTCCAAAGACAACATCCGCCATAAACCAGGTATTCCTTTATTTATTATATTACACTGAAGTGAAAGAGTACATAAGTTATACAGTTGTGTTATGGCTTAGAAGTCATTGCTGTTGGTGCCATTGGTGTTTCTGTTAAATTTGGGCTTTATAAAAATGGCTTCAGCATGTACAGTCTGCAAAATAATTGAGAAGTTGAATTTCATCTTCACTTTTGACGTCTGTACAGTCTGATTATTTTACAAAGTGGTATGATTGGGATTCTTAAGAGGCCAGAATACAAAGAAATATTAAGACTTAATTAAACATGCACTTTTCAGGTGGGGGTATCTGCTTGTTTCTATGGAGATGCTATTACTTCTTCTCAATGGCATTAAACACATTTATAACATTTATTCTGTTACAAGAGTTTTCATTGTTAAAAAAAAACAAATGGAAAAACATCCATTCTTACTGTATTGTGAGTGGACTCGCCTCTCCACAAAAGTGAACAGTAACTTTGCCTGGTAGGGTCTCTTATCTCCAAGTAGACATGTAGTTTGTAGAAGATTAATGCCATACTGTGGAGCATTCCAGGCAAAGCAGGTGGAAGGTGACAGACAAGTAGGCAGCTGCTTAGGGCCCCCAAACCTGGAGGGGCCCCCAACCAATTGCCCTCAGTGCCACGAATGGCCGAGGCCTCAGAGCAATTTGATTTTCTCTCAATATAATCACACTTTTTAACATTTTAACATGTTGCTTTGTTTTCCTTTGTGGAGGTGGTGGAAATGTTGAAATCAAGCACGAGAAGTTGGAGTTTAAAGTCCAATCTAAGGTCGGGTCCCTGGATAACATTGGTCACACCCCGGGAGGAGGACAGAGAAAGGTAAAGACTTGAAACCCGGATCAAACTGCCCCCATGCTGTAGGCACTTCCTTTATGAGTAACACACATCTTGGCCCTCTGTTGCCATGGAAAGTCTCTTCGGCTTTTGCTTTTGATCATAGGAGAGTCTTAAATAAGTTGAATGCAGCAGCAGGCGTAGAAACACTGTAGTGGAGTACGGACCTGTTCAGCGTTTGTGGTTGAAATAATGTCAGCTCTTCACACTTTCAACAGAAACAGATGACACATATGTGAACAGGAAGCAATTGCTCATACTGTTATTAACACCTTTATCCTGCAAGTGTACGTATAGAAAAGAGTATACAGTATGTGAGCATTTTATAATAAAGGGGCTGTAATTTATATATTTTTTCTAGTTTAGGTAAATTACTTAGACTTATTTAATCCTTATTAATCCACAAGGGAAATTATTTGGATATAGCAGAGATGTATTTGTATTACTATATTTCTATGTTTTATTTTCACTTGTGCACATATATTTGATAATTATGCCTTATTTGAAACCAGTCTCTTGCTGTTTTTGCTACTTATTTTGAATTTATTATAACTAGGAATGTAACAATAACCAAAATATTGTGATATCGTATCGTCAAAAGTCTCACAATAATATCGTGGGCTGTCACAATACATCGAATTACAAGTTCCTTTGCTTAAATGCATGGTTTTATAGTAGCACCAGCTTATAAACATTGGAAACTACATATCTCATGATTCATTTCAGTGCAGACAATATGAAGAGATATGTTTTTTAACTTGAATTGTTGGGATTATAATGGAAATAATTCACACCAAAATCTTGTCAAGGTATTTTAAAAGGAGAAACGTGTCCTATCTACAATTATATCAGCCTCTTCAAAATATCAAAATGATTTGGATATCATTACATACCTTCCATTAATATTTTTTGCTCTTTGTAATTATAATATTTTGTGATGTGTGCGCTACTGTGGCCAAATAATTTCCCTTGTGGATCAATAAAGTTTGGCTAAGTCTAAGTTATATCATGCACTATAATGAAAAAGTAGATATTGGAGATAAAAATGTGATTGAAGGATATTGCCTATGCATATTAAAAGTCAGTCTTTTAGATGAGAAGCAATAGAAGTCTTTATTTTTTTTTTGTATGATGTTTTAGCATAAGTGAGAGAAATTACTCCAAATCAGTTACAGGGAATTTAACATTTCAAAAAGACTTTCAGCTTTACTAATCTGTGGTAATATTTTGTAGATGCTTCTCGCAAATTACAATGTGGCACTTAAAATCTCAGTTCTTTATAATTTGAGGTTGAAAGGCATTTTTCTTGTGCCAACAGCTTATAGTTATGTATGTGGTTTGATACAGTAGGCTTCAGGCTACCCAGCTATTTTTGGCGTGTGGTTCCTCATTTTGTATGTAGCATTATAACAACCCCTTTACAGGAATGCAGGCCCAAAACAGTATAAACAAACACCATAGCACAGCATTTTTCAAACTACTATGAGACTGGAATGTGGCAAAAACAGGAAAGCATAGAGTAACACAACATCGCACCAAATTCAGTTCATTTTGATTTCATGGTTTGTTTAATTTATCCTTTTTTTCATTGCTGTTATCATCCATTTTATTATTATTTTGGTTCATTATATTGTATTGTGTTTATATTTTCATAGGGCTGCACAGTATGAGGGAAAAAAAATGAAAATAATTAAACTTTAACATTTATGGGAGTTACTAGATCATTTTGACAGTTTGATAAAAGGTCGAGATTATGCTCATTATTCTTTGAGCTACGATATAATGTTGTTCCTCATCACAAACAGACCTGAAGTTGTGTTTTTTTTCTTACAAACCTGCATATTTAGGTTTAGTTCTTATCCCAAACACTCTGTTCCACCTTGTGATGTCATGTGGTAATACAGGAAGTGCTCCACTGTGCTTTTAAACTCCCTACACCTTCGCTAGAATCATTTGGATCATTTCAGTCCTGGAATTGCCAAACTACACTGAACAAAGTGTAAAGATAGCTGTTATCTTAAAAAACTGCCACTTCATGACATCACAAGGTGGAACAGAGCATTTTGAGCTTTGGAAATGTAGACAGACTAATAATAAACGGTTATGCAAACATGTGTGAGTGAAACAAAACATAGGTATGCTCCAGGTATGTTTGACAGCATTATAACATGACTTAAAAACTCAGAACAGTTCATTTTGTGTAATATAGGACCTTTAATAAGTGTGAAATTAAAGCTTTAAAATTAAAAATATATTGCCTACTACATTGTCACAAACTCAAGGCAAAGTCTCATTAAGAAGATAACTTTTATTTATGACCAATAGGAAATAAACGGTGTAATTTGCTTTCAAATGAGAGGAGAATTTTCACTATACTGTGCAGCCCTTGTTTCTATTTCATTATTGCTTTGTTCATTATTGTGCTTTTGTTGTGTTTTTCTGTTGATGCCATCTCATGTGTTTCTGTTGCCCCCCTGACCATCAGCAGCGTCAGAGCAGAGAGGGCAGCCTTTCGGACAGCCCCTCCCTGCCCTCCCCCGGCCTCACCCCCCCTCTCACTCCCCAGACCGTGTCCCCTGTCCCAACCACACCTGTGCTCACCAACCCTCTCATAAAGATTGAGGACTCCTGTAAGTACACACCAGAGTAGACTAGATGTAAATACTGAATACTTTCCTTGAGAATTTTAAAAGTGCACTGTGCAATTTTCAGGTGGAAGGTCCGCTACCCACTTGTCTCCATAGAGATGTTATTGCTTTGTTTAAAATGTTCCACAGTATAGATTAAACGTATCTATGTTAAGGAAGACAACTGGTGGAACCCAAAAATGCAAACAAAAAAGGATTTATTAACAAAGATAGTCTTAGGGGGAAAGTGCATTCCAGGGAGGGGGACAGGACAGGACGGGTCTCGGAAGGCAGCAGACAAGAGGTAGGTGGTAGCTCGGACTGACCAGAGGTTAACGGAATCTGAGGCAGATGTGATGAGGCTGGCTCCACCCGAAGGTACTGAAGAAATGATAAAGATAACTGGTATGTAAGTGTATAAAAAAAAATCTTCAACATTCAAAAAAAGAAAAAAAAAGTAGAGAAAGCCTGACAGAACTGGCACTGGCGAGAAGGTCAGCAGATCTTTTATAGCAAGAGATGATTGAGTGATGAGAATCAGGAGTAGAGCTCAGCAGGTGAGTGTAAGTGGGATCCGCCCAGGAAACTCCAAACAAGGTAAGGAGAGAAGGGGAGAGGGAACAGGAAAGGAGGCATAGGAGGAGCATGATGAAACCCTCACAATCTATCACAAGGGAGGCAAGCAGGTTACAGCACTATGTTACATTACAATTCAGCTTTGTGGAGAGGCGCCACTATTCACAGAAGGAATTCATTTATTTTTGAGTAGTAGAAACGTCTGTAATGAATAAATGCTAGATGGAAATGCTTAAAGTCACCATGGAACATTCCAGGCAAAGCAATAACATCTCCATGGAGACAAGCAGGTAGCCGACCCTCCACCAGAAGTTGGAGAAGTTGCACCTTTAAGGAATTCACAGAATTTCATATTTTCAATTCTTTAAAAAAAAAAAAAAGGCTAGAGGAAATATGGGCTTCATTAAATAATTATTTGAAAATAACATTGACTGATTTGACTCCATTGTTATTTTACAGGTTTACACTATAAATAGTTCTGGGTAAAAGACACTGGTGACCATGGCAGCCATATTGACAGTACAGTGTGTAGTGTAAACAAAATGGTGCACCTGCTGTATAGTTTATGGTGCATGTCTGGACACACCTCTGTGGTAATGATACTGTCTGTCCTCTAGAGGGAGCACAACACACAACAGTGCATCAGCATTACCTACTACACTTTTAATGCCTGCAGGGGAAAGGGATATCTGTTGGTGAACAGACTAGTTAGCTACTATATATATTTTTACTATTTTCCACTTTGCACTGCAGTTGAAAAGTACTAGAAATAGTCTGTTCATGTTATAATGAAATCCTATCCATGTATTTCAGAATGATGAAAAATGGTGTTGCCATAGCAGTAATTTAAACAAAATATGATATCTTTTGAGAAAACCCTCAAACAGTTGCAAATAACAGGAATCTTGAAAACTATGAAGACCAAAATTACAAGCTCACACTAATTTATTTTATACAACAGTCCACATTTTTTAGCATTGATAGATTTTTTTTTTTTTAGCATTAACTGATTATGATTATCTTTTAAATGGGGAAAAAGTCCTCAAATGTTTGTATATAACAGGAATTTTGAAAACTATGAATACCACAATTACAAGCTCATGCTAATTCAATACATCTAATTTAATACATCTATTTTTTATATTATTTGATAACCAACCGAGTTATTAATACCTCCCCCTCCTCTGCAGATTGAGAGCCACAAACTGACCTTCCGCGAGACGGCCAAGGCGCGCACTGACCACGGCGCTGAGATCATTTCTCTAGAAGAGTCGCCGCAGCAGCTCAGCACCATGTCGTCCTCCGGCAGTCTCAACATGGCCGACTCCCCACAGCTGTCCACGCTGGCCGACCAGGTGTCCGCTTCGCTGGCCAAACAGGGCTTGTGAATGCACATAACTGTCCACAAAGTCCCCCCTCCCTCCATCCCGCTTTTCTCTCTTTCTCTCTTTCTCTCTTACCCTCCTCTATCTGTCTCTCCCTTCACACCACCACAGTCGCAACGTAGTCAAGTTGTGATGCCTTCCTGGTTAATTTCCACTGGACTTTTTAATTTATTATCTTATTTTTTCAACATTTTAGCTCAACCTACCACTGTAAACTAACTGTTCATGAGGCAGTATTATTAGGCCAAGTTTTTTATTTCTATGCTAATTTAATTGATAGCCCACCTTTTGTAAGTGTCCCTTTAAGATACACAAGCTCCTCAGATCTGATTCCAATGACCATTCAAGGCTTGTCTCCCTGTAACAATGACAGTTAATCCTATAGGAGTCAAGTTGTCAGCGTGCAAGTCCCCTTATTTATTTCATTTTATTCAGACAGTCATGTTTGGACAAGAAAAAGACAAAGTGCGTATCATTATTAAGGGGTAAGGTCTGTTTTAACGCAGAGGGGGCAGTTACATGGTATAGCGATGACAGAAAGCAGTAGCAACATTTTCATCTAGGCTGAAAAAATGCGCTTTCAGACCTCACTGCGAATCTTTCTTTTGCTTTGTTTAGTCCTGATTGAAAAGAAATGGGAGAAAAAACAATGGCTAGAGCGTAGGCTTGTGTTGGGCACAGTTTTATAATTGTACTCTGTGGATACATGTATTTGATATGAAGAAAACATTTGTTTCGTGCCTGCTACTGTCAGTGTTGATTTTTTGTTACTGCTCTATTTGTAATATAGGAGGCGAAAGCATTGATTATTAACCTGTAGGCTTTTGAAAATGTAATGGCCAAATTTTACAGTATTTCGAGGAAGAGGAGGTGACATGCACTAAGTACGCATATAAGCATTCATAACTATTAATTTACCTAGTATTTTAAAATGTAATCTTGAAAGAAATGAGTGTTTTAGATGGGTAAATGTAAGGTATGAAAGGTTTACCGGGCCATTGTGGTGCAAAGAGGGATTTAGTGAGAACTGCAAGTCTGAAACTGTACAGTGAAAATGGTACTTAATATTATTTAACTCACTAAAAATGAAAGCAGCTCGCTGGATATAATAGAACTACCCCTAACACTTCAAATACTATACCCCTATTGTCAAGCATTACTCCCCCTAGTGGTCAGTCTCACTAAAGATCTTGCATGCTCCTCATGTAAGAGAAAAACTGCTTGTTGCCTCCCTTTCACAAAGTGGTCTCTATGTAATGTATATCCTCTTTATATGAACTGAACCGCAAGGATATACTGGTAGGTTTAAGCGTGTGTCTGTGCGTGCGTATGGGCCAATTCGTCATTCAAAAGTGGTCATAAAAGAAGTCCTCAACATGGCTCCCTGTTATAACGCATAGGGTGACCACCTCCAATTGTAGAAAACGAGCGAAGTTGTTGAATGTGGTTGGATATTACACAATTTGAGTTTTAGAATTAACAATTGTAAGGCAAAGAGAGAGCAAAAATATATCTCACTTTTTATAATTCATGTGGCATTAATAAAAAGTGGGGCATACTCTAAATAATTGGGACAAGGGACACGGGTCTAAATCAGTGTGTGGGACGAGGACAGGTGGTCACCCTAATAACACATAATGCAAAATCTCATTGCCAAAATGTTAGGTTCACGGGCAGTAGGACTTTTAAGGTGTTCTTGCAACATTATCTGCATGCAAAATAAATCTCGGTTTTTAGACCACGTTAATTTTAGTGTATAAGAAGAGATTGGGTGCTCAGAGGGAGCTGGAATGGCGCCCCCTCGAGGCGCGCAGCTGCAGTAAAGAAGAATCGTGCCAGAGCTTGTGCTTAGTCCTCTCCGTTAAGGTTTGTACCAGAGCTAATTGAGAGGCGGTTTTTGTAGTAACAAATTCTCATCACCTTTTTGATTATTTCTGATGCTGTACAGTTGTGGCAATGTGATTGTTCGTTATTGTGCATTTTATCAATAACTGGTTTATGATGATTCTTGTTGCTGTAATATGTGTATTTGAAAATAAATGCTATGAAGTCAAGAGTGGTGGGTTTTGTTTACTAAAAATAATTACAACATTCACGCCTACATCCTTAGAAAACTTGTGTATCTATTTCCTGTTTTATACCAGCAGAGATGTTGGTCCATTTGATCCAGCATAATGCAATGTTAAAATTACAAAACTTATTTATAAAGAGAAGGATAAAAATATAAAGTACAAGCATTGTAGGCTCACTGATTTCTAACTGATTTTGTCAAACGTTCATCATTACGCTTGAACTTCTTGTCCCTAGACACTGGAGATTTGCTTTGTTATAAAGAACAAAACAGGAGGCCAGAACAACCATGCCAAGTTAAACATAAATGTTTTAATGGTACTATTTACAAAAAAACAATTCTGCTTTTGATTAGGTTAACTGCTGCAACAATCGAACAGGTACATTGACATCTTGCTTAACTACAAAAGAAAAAACAGTGATTGAATGACTGTGGCATAAAAGAAAAACAACCATATATTTTTTGCATAGCAATTAGTTACTTAGGAGGGGCAATTGTGTGGTTATGACTGTGGGGTGGCAAAAACAAAATTTCACCAAAAGCAACAGTAGTCTAGAATATCCAGATCATATGTTCAAACTATTAACACCAGAAAAGTAGATTCCCTTAAATTGAAAAACCTGAGTTGGGGTTGGCTTCAGTTGAGTGGGTGCCGCTACATTTGGATGATTAAAATTTGCAAGACAAACAATTCTTCTTGTCAAGCCGAGCCAGTAAAATGGAGGAGGGCTTCATGTTATTTTTTATTTTGCCACAATTTACTCATGTAAATACAGAAATGCAAAGGATCCGGGAGTGAAGTTGATGGTATACTCATTCCCATTTAGCCTGTGATTGTTTGGTTCTTAATAAGTAGTACTGTGATAAAACTAGCATTCGAGTAGCATGTTCAGAGCATGCAGCATTGCTTTCTGTTGGGCAAGTGCTCTTAAAGGACATCCCAGTCGTCTCGCCATCACCCCATGTTTTAAACTCAAAAGAAGAGACACACGGCAAGGGGAAAGAGAGACGGACGATTTCCAAAGATAAAAGGAATGATTTTTTTACTTTTACTATTTAAAACACAAAGAAAATGTGTTGAGCTGGAACAGACAGAACATACACAAAATTAACTCCAGGAATGAAAAACAATGAAAGCAAACCAACAAAACTAGACTTGGCAGTTGCAGAAGTGCTGTGGTGACTTCCTCTTAAAGGACCAAGGGGGACCACGTCTCATGTACCTGTGGGTTTGGATGAAGGGCAGACAGGAGGAGGGAGGGCATTTTTCTTGTTTTGTTATTTGTCACTCCACTAAAAATGTACATGGGAATTACAAGCAAACTAGTCAATAGAAAACACCCTTTGGCCATATTTTGAGGAGTCCGCTACATAGTGCGCTACAAGTGTACACGCGACATATGAACACCACTAAGCCCCCATGTACATTGTTTAGCCTACTACAGAAATCATTTTTTGTAACGTGTTGTTTTTATACTTTTTTTTTTTAACATTTATCCTTTTTTTCTTGTGACAAAAACAAGTGTAGGGAAAGGCTTCTATCTCCATAATATTCACTAAAAACTGTGAAAAGTATTAGACTGATGTTTGAATATCAAACAACAGGAACCCATTAATATTTTATTTTGCTTTGAGGTTCTGTTTGTTAATGCCAGAGAGGAGCTGTAGGGGGCGCCGGTCAGTCATTTATCGGTGGGACATCCTGTGTTTGGGGGTGTCTTCATCACAAGGCAGGTCCATGTCATCTGAATCCAGCCTCCCAAAGGCTGTTGCTCGGCAACCTGAGATGCTCCTCATCCTGGGTCTGATGTCGGGGTCGGCCTCAGGCTCCGGGGCGGGGTCTTCAGACAGAGGGAAGCTCCGGCGCTCCCACGGCGCCACCGTCTGGAGGGGAACAGAATAGTTTATATACTTTCACACTGATATGTCTTAGTCCAAGCAGAGCATTACTGCAGTAGAATAACTGCACCACAAGTAGAGAACAGGGAACACAGACACTGGTTGGTGATCACCCCAACACTTCCTTTATACAGAATAGTATCACATATTTTTATATTTTTACCACTTCATCTTTCACTACATGCACACTTCATGTGTGTCCTCTGGCAGCTTCTGCCTGAACATCCTTCTAACCAAGTATTTATCATCTCTCCTACGAAAATGTCCAATGCAAAATTAAAACTCCAGATCAAATAATTGAGGGAGGAGGCCCTGATGAAGACCCAGGACACGCTGGAGGACTATGTCTCTCGGCTGGCCTGGGAACGCCTTGGGTTCCCCCGGAGGAGCTGGAGAACGTGTCTGGGGTGAAGGAAGTCTGGGTCTGGGAGTCCCAGCTTAGACTGCTGCTCCCGCGACCCAGCCCCGGATAAGCGGAAGAAGATGTATGGATGGATCAAATAATGACGTACTCCAATCAGCACTTATTGCTCTTTATGGGACATTTCAGAGAAAATCAGCCTCCACAGTGTGCAGCAGTCTAATGATTATAATGTACTATACGCAATCAGACCCATTGAACTCTGACGTTCCCTTGGCATGTATGTATGTAGCATGCACTGCACTCCTGTGTTATTGTATGTGGATACCTTAACTCTAAAACAAACTGCTGACTAAACAGCGTCAGTTCCATTAAAGAACAGTCTGGTACATACTCGTTCTTCAAAGGAGAAGTCCGGTGTGGAGCAGCGCGTGTCTTCACTGGAGAGCAGGCGGTGGGAGTCTCTGGAGCAGGGCGTATGAGGGTTGGAGGTGGTGTCAGGGCTGGGGGGGCTCAGGGGAGACGGCACATGGCTGTAGTCGTGCAGCAGGGGGCAGTGTCCGGGGTCTGGGGAGGCGGGCTGAGGCGTGGGGGGGTTGGTTCCACACAGCAGCGGTGTGGTCCGACCATCTACAGATTTATATGACCTGGGAATAGACAAAAGGTAAGGATCAATACAGCGCTGTGGGCGTATTCGAAAATAATATTTTCGTACATACCCCTTATTTACCAAAATATTATTTCAGAGAACAGGATTACAATATAAATAAAGAATAGACAAAATTTAATCTTAGGTCTAACCATTTCAAAAACGCAGAAGAATATTATTTCAAAAGTACATGTATGCTGATTAAACTGACCTGCTTCCCCGCCGTTTGGCTGGAGCCAGTGCCATCCAGGACCAGCGGGACCTCTCCTGGTCCTCGTACGGCTGGTGGAGCTGCACGAAGGCTGCCTCCGACAGGTCCTCCACCTACACACAACACACAAACCAATGAGAAACACACTCTTAATGAACTAAACTAAATTAAGACTGAGCTCCACGAGGCTACTCTGAAAATATGAATATACAAAAATACTTGCCTCCCGTTGATCCTCTTCTTCAGTTATTTTCTGGGAGAAAATATCCACCATTCGCCAACTATGAAACAAAAACAAACAGCTCTGAGCACAGAAACAGCTGCATGTGGGTTGTGAAAGTCAGGACAAGTTTACATGGATCGTAAACTAATCACATTGGACAAGTGGCACTGGAAAAACACCATGACCTGGGCTTTACTTGAGCTATACTGGGCGTGTCTGACTGTAGTGTGACTCAGGGCAGACCCAGAGCCAAGAGAGAGAGAGACAGAGAGAGGCAGGAAAGGCAGAGAGAGAGGCAGAATTAAACAGAGTGAAAGGGAGAGAGAGGGAGGCAGAGAGAGAGGGGCAAAATTAAACAGAGAGAGTGAAAGGGAGAGAGAGTGAGGGAGTGAAAGGGAGAGAGAGTGAGAGAGTGAAAGGGAGAGAGAGTGTGGTGGGTCCAGTCTAAATATTTACCTGGGTGTGAGGATCTCTTTGTACTGCAGCTTCTCCACTCGGGTGGTGGCTGCCACAGACATGGGGATCACAATATTGTTGATGTCAAAAGAGCTCTCACCTCTCCTCCTCTTGATCGGCTGCTGCTGAGGAATAATTAGACATGGATCATGTTACATTGTCTCTTTGCACTGTGTCTTCACATTCAAAGAGGAAATACATGAAGACGTCCCAAGGGAACTGAAGGACGCCATTTTCTGTTTTAAAACATGACAAGAGCTGAGTGGAAGGAAAAATACAGCTGGAGAAATGAGCCTGTTGCATCAACTTTTGACCACTAGATGGAGCCCAGACAGGAATGATTTCTCTGCCCTTTTTTCTTCCCAAGAGCCTCAGTCACTTGATATTAGCACCATTAGCATGGTAATAGACTTTTAGCCATTTTTGGAGGAGACTATTGGTCCAGAGTACTGAGAGCACTTACAGGTGTGGTTATGATGCTCTGTGCTCCAGGGCCCAGTGGGGTGGAGTTTTCGGAGGACGTGGAGAGCTGTCGCGTGAGGGGGCTGTGGAGGGACGAGTGCATGTGTGCCAACGTCGGGCAGGGACTGCTTGAGTCCAGAAACAACTTGGGAGATGCTGCAAAAACATTTGAACAGCGGTTACCATAAGGTCGATGTGACTTATAGACCCGTATAATGTGAAAAGTTGTCTGACTATATTATTATATATTATGACTATTAGAATATTTGCTCTGAGCATTCCTGAGATGCCTGATAACTCACTGTCTGAGCGTTCCAGAGAGTGCTCTCGTAATCTCTTGCGGCTGAAGCTCTTGTCGTAGGGTCCAAGAGGGGTGGAGGTCTGCAACCGCTCGCTCTTACACTGACTGTCCAGTCTGGACGAGTTCAGCACCGCACTGCTGCTGCTGCTGCCACCACTCTCCAGAGACCTCTGCTTCTCACGGCTCTTATAGTGACCCAGTCCTGAGGCAACACACACCATGTTAAGAATCTCCTACGGTTCAAACATTTACAGTATGTCTGATCTATCTAGTCTCCTTTGCATACAGCATCAGAGGCAGAGTACTTACTGACTGCCATAAGTGAGTTGGTAAACTTGTGCTTCTCTTTGGAGGAGGATAACTTGTGTTTGAGGGAGAGTTTCTTCAGAGGTTTGCGTCTCTCCAGTGACTTCATGTGCCACTGGCTCTTCATCACCTGCTGCAGGCGCAGACTGACACTCACGTCTACAGAAACAGGAGAAGGGGAGGAGGAGGAGGACGGTTAAGACACAACACATAACTATAGGGCCTATGTATGTGACCAGAACTATAGGGCCTGTGTGTTAGGGTTGCTGCTGTAAATGTGACACCAGTGAGTGGTTCAGTAAAACTACTCTGGGAACTTCAGGAAGAAGGCTGCCACTCCTTGTTTGTCTTCCTTCAAAATGTAAAATAGGAAATGTCTGAGCAAACTGTTCCTTTAAACAGTGACAGAACTGACCGTCAGGGAAGGACAGAATGGGGTGGATGCCAAGATCCAGCCTTGACAGGCGCTCAAGGGTGGGCAGTTCAAACTGGGGGTCTTCTCTGGGGGTGGGCCAGCCACCACACATCACACAGCTCGGGTTTACTCTGCAGCTACACTGGACACAGCTTCTGGGGGCCTGAGAAAACAATGCTGAGTTAGACTGTGGTTCAGAGGAGCAGTGAAATGCACACATCACAAACGAGAAGCATTCACATTCATTTAAAACTAAATATCAAAATGACCGCAATATTAGGAAACAATTTTGGCTGGGAAAGATTACAATCCAATTACAGCCCATTAAAACACTGGACCTAAATCTACACATTAAAAGTACTTTTAAAAGAGCAGAAGTATTCTCAGTCTTGAGCCAAGAAACATCTGAACAGGTGCAAAAGCAACAAAGCCCCAGCCACAGAGAGATCAAAGCACATCCTCTAATCCTCCACTGCAGAGGCACACGTCACTCAACTCTGACATGCATGTAACAGCATCAGGACTTTGTACAAATGACACTTTTTAACATCAGCATGTCTACGGCCTGCAGGGACTTTAAAACTTGGCTGAGTTAATAGGTCAGATGACTTGCACATACAACAGAAGAAGATCTAATCACCAGCACTAAATACCAGACTTACACTGAGCCACTGAGAGAAGAGCCATGAACAACTTTTTCCAACAAAAACTTGTGAGATGTCACAAGGCACAATAACCACTCTTTGTTGTTGGACTTAACATGATTCTGCCCTACTTTCATACAAATAAAGTCTGCCATAGCCAAACACAATGGCCTTACACAGCAGAGCAGTCTGTGTTATCACTGTGTGTTAAAGTGTATATATATTTGGGACAAAATAGCAAGAATGTACATGTTTAAAAACAGTTGCTATAACAGAGGGAAAACAGATATCCACACAAATACAATAATATGACTTTATTACCCCTCTAGAATGGATCGCCCCTGAGTACAATGCACTTGGCTCACCTTGCCATTGAGGTTGGGCACAGAGTTGGGCTGAATGAGGCGCCGTCGGCGACAGCTGACGAGGGGCCTCGTCCGAGCTGCCACACACGAGCTGTCGAGGGGCTGCAGGGGCCGGGGCTCCGCACACTCTGCCATCCTGGGACCACCACACAAAAACAGGGGATTAACTGAATAGTATAGAACATCTTTGACCATGTTAGATGCCATAAAGTAGATTTAATTTAATTTAGGAATTTGCAATTAAGTTAATTATGTGTTCAAATATTTCTAATAAATTATGAAATACACCAATACAGCAGAGGGTTTTCTTTACCCTAAATAATTTGCTGTGCAAATTAATCTATGTTTAATTACCCTTGTTCTGAGGTTGCCAAACACCACAGGATAAATTATACAAGGACATGTTGCAGAACTGCTTTTGCAAACCACAGGCCACTCCCACATACAGACAAGTCCCACCCTTTTTTAAAAATCTGCTAGAGTCATTACCTGCTGAGGACGCCATTAACAGGCTGTCCATTTTGACCTTTCCAGGCTCCTGTAGGCTCTGCGTTGGTGATGTGGGCGGTGACCGTGTGCTCCAGCCGCTCTGAAGCCACGTCCTGCAGCGACAGATAAGACGATTCAGAGACTACACCTCCCATCAGCCCCCAGTGACTGCAGGCTGTGCCGCCAAATGGAGATATTTTAAGGCGGCAGCATAAAGGACCGCATCCAACAGTCTGGTCATGTGCTCTTAAATTATTTAGTTTGATTTGAGAAGAGACAAGGCGCTGCCACAAAACACACAGCTCTGCTCCTTCTGACCGCAGGTTTAGAGAGCTTTTTCTTATTTAAATACAACCAAAACAGGTATATATTACAATAGTAGTTTTGAAGGTTGAAATCATTTAGAGCACTGAGAATATTAAAAAGATAAAAACTGTGGAGTCCATTTTGTATGATACTTCAACTAAAACTATTAAAAAGGCACATTTAATTTCTGATGGAGTGCAAAACTGGTCTAATTATTGTTTTTAGGATTACATAAGGTCAATATCCACAAAATTTTAGGCCCTGGGTAGGCCCATATTACATTTTCTCTATGTGAAAATTTCCCAGTCCAAAATTTAAGAAGGTCTCCTCGCTGCTCTGGGCCTTGGATAATAAGTACCTTTATGCTCCTGTCAATATCACCAACCCAAATTTACAAAGTCCTAAATGGTAAATTACCACGAAAACATCAGCCAAACAGGAAAAGTTAACATCTATCAACACAAAATGGAACTGAAGATCAAAGTTCCTGCATGGACTATTTCAGAAAGCACACATAAAAGAAACCATTTCCTGCCTGTGTTTTCCACTAAAGACAGTCACTAGAACAAAGCATCAAGGCTCAATAAAGAAATAATATTACACAGAGTTACTTAAAATCAACTTCGCAGACAGACACTAAACACAAACTGCCAAAACACCAGTTACTGAGAAATGCATGATTTTAGTTGCTTACCGTACTATTTACAGGCTCTGATTTGACTTCTGTTACACTAGGAGCAACACCTCCCAACTCCACTGAGCCCTGACAAAGTAAAGGACCCAAATTTCAAGTTAAAACTAACAATACTGAGAAATATAGTTGGATTTTACTTCACTACCAAAGTACAAAGTAAAAATTCCATACCTTGCTGGCACGTATCTGTCTGTAGATGTCCGTCTGCTGTCTGATGCGATATTCCAGGTCAGAGATGTGAGCCTGGAGCCAATTCCAGTGACTGATGATGGCCGCTCGCTCCACCGTGTAGCGACTCTCTGCCCGCTTCCATCTACAACAAAAAAAATGTCATGAAGTTTATTTTGTTAAGATCAGTACATATAGAACTGTAATAAAATACTACGATTATTAACCATTGTGATCAATAGAGTCTTTTCTTTTTGTGCTTAGTCATCCCATTTTTACTTTTATTATGAACAAGGACCTAAGCTGCACTGTAAAACTGTCTTCCTGTGTTATTACATAATCTTACATAGCTTTTTTGGCAAAATGTTCAACACAATGAGCCAGATGAACCCAGTTAAATAATTACGAATAAAAACATTCCCCCAGCAATCCTGATATACTATACCATTATCACAGCATTGAGGTTTTTCCCTCAAAATCCTTCACTTGATTCACAAATATTAAATTATAACTAGTTACATAAGAGTAGATTTTCAAGAAATGCTGTTAGCATAGTGAACTCTAATGTCTCAAAAGCAGAATGCCAAACCAATAGTGTAGTATTTAAACAAATGAGTAAATAATAATGATATATACTGTAACTAATGCAAGGAGTCTCAACACAACAAAGAAATTCTTGGTTGGCTAAAGCTGTGACCTATGCATCGATTAACTGGATAAAAAGGGCAGAATTATTACAATTCTCTGAAACAACTATAACAATAAACAATATCTTAATCAATAAAAAAGGCAGATTTAACTGTCCAGTCACTCTTAAAACTCCAGTTAACTTATTCCATGCATTCTTTCTGCTGTTGTGCTTAGAAGTCCTATAAATCCCAATAATTGTAATAAAAATAGTTGACTAAAATACCATGAACTGATTAATTGACTGATTAACTTGACCAAAGGTCAACATCCATACAAATGTTTGTATTTATTGTTGCCCCAGAGAGCAGTTCCCTTATCAGACAGCAGGGGTCAGTGTATCAGCACCTCTTTAGGCCTTGCACAGCTGCAGACACCTTGAAAAACCGGCCTGTTGTGAACAAACAGCTCGTCTCCTGCGTCATCGCTCTCACTCGTTACTGAATATGAGATTGTGGCTTTGCTCATTCACTCCACTGTAGCAGCCTGCACCATCTGAGAACACAGAGCTCCATTTTCCCACTATGACACACAGAATGGGCATTTCAAAGGGAGCAGACATGAGAGGAAAATGTCTGCTCCTGCACCGTGTGCCAGCAGCCACAGGGGGCGCAGTTTCCCCCCGGAGTCAGAGGCCGCAGAGGCTGGTTGAACAATGAAAATAATGACTCAGATAGCAGACAAAGATAGACCTTGCACTCTTCTTCTCTCCCCTCCCCTCCCTGTACACAGCTCTGTTTTCAATTTCAAGAGTCCAGCAAAACTAGAGAAAGCCAATGAATTTAAATACTACAACGCACACAGGAGAAGATGGAAAATAAAATTAAATTGGAAAAAACAACTGAAACGTGGAATAAATGAGACTATAGGGAGGAGGAGACAGCCTGAGGAGCAGACGGACTTTAAAAAGCAATCTACAGTCTAGCTGTGCCGAGGGGGTGGGGCCGAGGCAGGAAGTGGTGCAGCAGACAGGGGCTAGGCGAATAATCCGACCAGGAATCTTATGTTATTGGGAACTTTAAGTGGGAACAGCTTCCATTGAGCACAGAAGGACAAGCCCTGACTTTTCACTGCAAAACAAAACAAGCTCCCTCACCGCATCAAGGACATCACTGCAAAGAGCTGCAATGCTAAGACTTGTACTTTCATACCTTTATATTTGTATTTCTACACTCTAGTATGTACAGTAGGGATTTATACTTGTTAGTTTGGGAAATAAGATGTTCACAAGGGCTGGAATGACTGATCAGAATAATTGTGAATAGTCGACTACTGAAGCAATATCTATATAAGGATGCAAAAACACACACCACAAGGCCATTTATAAACAGACAACCACAGTATTAAATCAAAATAATTAATTATTCAAATTTTCATCAATAATGGCCCTTATAAATCACATTTGTAGAAGCAGTCTTTCATCATATTTAAAGTTTTACATTGTGAATAGTGTATTTTAAAATTCCACTGTACAATAGAAATGATAATTTGATTAGAAGATTAAAAATATATAGCCAAGTTTCAGTTCTAATGTTCACAACACAATGTACACAGCAGGAGCCTGTGCAGGAGATCAATGCAAAAAGAAATAATTTGCATTCTTGTGGGGAGTTAACCAAAACATTGTAGGTGTCACAAATGCAATACACAAAAACAAAAATGATATCTTAAACAAGTATAAAAATGAAATCACACATAAATATTAAAAAATAAAATAACAGCATTTTTGAAAGTGACTGTAAATGCTTTGCCCAAATCAAGACAGAAAAGGTCACCCAGAAAAAATGGCAAGAGAGTTGAAAGCAGCGTCCAGTGTTTTAGGAAAATGTAAACTGATCTTCCCACGAGCGAAGCCACAAACAAAAGATAACGACAGACAAAGCTTGCATTAATCTTAAGTTTAGTGGAGCCAGAGGAAGAGCTAAAAGTCTTGTTTGAAGTGCAGTGCTATTATTGAAATGCTTGTACTACTGATGACCTTAAATCGTCAATGTGAAGGAACAGGGGTGTGTGGGGAAGAGGGGCTGTGATACAGAGCTCCGCCCCCTCCCCTCCAAAACCAGGCCATATTTTCCTCCCCCCTCCCGTTACTCCGGCACAAAAGCACCGCCGGCGATCACTACGGCCCGTTTCCGACGTGTCAGCACATTCTACACTGTGCTCCTGTCTGGACACTGCACATATGTTGAAGCGGGGCAGTTTCATGACACATTGACCTGCCTAAAGTCACCATTGTCCACAATAATGAGATGCAAGGAGGGGACAATAAGCAACAATATAATTTATCATGATAAAAATGGTAGGCAATAATCATCCATGGGTTAATTTATAATATAAACTTAATAATCGATAACAAAGATGATCACAATTGCATTACCAGAATGTGCTGAGAAAACATACTTATTCGTGACATTTTCTTCTAGATCATTGTTGTTTTCACTTTCACTAAAAAAGTTCAACACTATAATAATATAACAATAATATTATTCAATTTAATATTAATAAAAATTATCATTCATATCCATACCATTTTTAAACTGTCTGCCAATTTAATAATTATCATGATATAAATAGCTAGTCGCAATTATTTTGGCCATGATAATCGTGACATCAAATTTCAGTTTCGTCACATATCTGGTCTAAAGTAAATACTACTGTCCGTAATAAAATGCTGCTAAAAGATGAACACAAAAAAAAGATCAAAAAGCAATTCAGAATCCAGTGTATAATTTGTTGTTAATAGATGAGTTTTGAATCTCAAGAATATTCACATTTTAGACTGAAAGTAATGCAGACGATATAACGCAACTACCCATTAAAACAAGATCCTGAGAACACAATATGAGGCTTCCTTGTTCGCATTCCTTTGTCATAAAAGTCCTTTGCAAACAAACAACCGTGGAAAGAATAACTAGCTGCTCTGTCTCCAACTTGGCACAGATTCGACAATGAAAATTTTCAAGTTACGAGTCTTTGTGAATTTATGAGCAGTTCTGCACACAATGAGTCGAGCAATATACCACAAACCATAACAGAAGATTATGAGAAAATAATCAACTTTGTGATTCAAACAGAGCTGCGTGAAATGAATGACTATTTTGCCAATTGATTAATCTGAGGCTTATTTGTGTTTACATAATGAGCTTTACCCCAGTTGTGACAGCATTCTGGATGTGTTTACATGCACATAGAGAAATATCCCTGTATATATGGGTATCCAGGAGACAATTACAGATGTGGGGCTAAATATTAGAGCAAAATTACTAATCTTTCTAGGGCCTTTCTATTAACAAACTGCCTAAAAACAGTTAATAAGACTGCTGAACCCTCTCACAGCTTCATAACACAGAGACAGTTAATTCCAAAAGTAGCAAAGATAGCCACAGATATTAGATGGTGTTATATCAAAACAAAAAAAATGTTTAAAAAAGTCCAGGTAGAGCTGTACAGCTGTTTTAGGAAACTGCTCCTATCATACTTGTTTGTTTAGTTTGGCACTTCTATTGATAAATCAGGATACATACCCCAGTATCCCGAATACCCCATTGACAGTATCTCAGTTTATCATTTCCCAGACTGGTTTATCCAAGTTACTAAAACTGGGATACTGTGTTTACATGGACATAGACAAAACCAGGATAATGGAGTGCATGTAAACACATTCAGTTAATCTATTAGTTGTTTAAATCTCGTGGCCTTCTGTAATTTATATTGAAACAGACCCAGAGAAAGTGATGTCGCTGGATAAAGTCTTACATTAAGTGCTCTTGACAAAATAGAATTGACATAAAATTTTATGATTAGCCATTTTGATGCAATCACTGCTCTGTCTGAGTCATACAACTTCTCGTACACTGGCATGTTTTGGAGTTTGTGTATAGACCAGACATTGGAGTACTTCATTTGTTGACGATTATTTCAGTAATCAATTTGTTGCAATTAACTGACAGCTTTTTTTTGTACATTGTATAGGATTGTAAAGCTACTCTGAGCTGGTGTTGACATGATACTAGAATTTCAAACTTCATTCCAATACCAAGGAATTCTAAATACCTATTACGGTACAACAATGAAGATTTAAAAAATGCTATTTTAGTAACAGAATGTAATTTTCATTTCACAAAATAACAGTACTTTCTTTATCTTAGCATGAGGTCTTGCATTTGTTTTTAAAAGCTCAAAAATCAAACAAAACATTTTCAGGAAAGCTCAAATTTTTCCTGTTTTTGCTATAACAATTCTTCCTCAAATGAGTATATAGTTTCATATTAGTTTTAGTACTAATAAGAATCTGATTTGATACTTCTGACAACCCTATAGAAAAGTATAGATAAAGAAGCAGTGTGTGGTCATCTTGCACAATCAAACACAACATATTTTTACAAAACAAACTCAATGCAAATATGCAATTTTAGTAGGATAAATATTCTCTTCATGTTTTGTCAACAGCCACTACTA